GAGGCCGTCTGATTGGGACAAGCAGCGGTGGAAGTAAAGCTGCGCGACGTCGTGGAAGCGCTGCTGGCAGCTGCTGCGACTCTTGTCGCCGGGACGGCGGATTATCCGCGCGGCTTGTCCAAAAGTGAGGCGACCGATCGTCGACTAAACTATCTGTTCGGCGTCTCCTTCGGCAACCGACGGACAGTTGGTTAACTAACTAACTAACTATCCTACGACTATTCCGTCACCGCAGCAGACGGACGTTGATGGCGGTCCCCCGGCATCTCCGCCCACCCCCCTGACGATGATGCATTGCATACTGCCAGTCCGCCTGCCATCCTCGCCCTCGGTTCCCTTTGGAATTGTTGCCCCCGGATTCCCGCTTCCCATTTTGATTTTCTGTTCTCGTTCCGGCCTTGTACACTACCCATCACTACCACTATCTACTTGCACACTTTCGGTTTCCGACGCAATGTGCCTTTGTATTACCCCCCTTTCATGATCGGAGTTTCGTTTTCCTGCTTCCTTTTCATTCTCTCACACCACCTCGACAAGGGCACACACGTGTTACATTCCCCCATCCCGTCCCCGGGCACACGGGCACGAACTCTATTCGGGTCGCGTCCCTTTCATTCTCGCGACTTGGGAAATATAGCCCGCCTGGCTAGCCCTTGCTTCACGCCCCTTTCCACATCAGTTTCTTTCTTGCCGGGTTCCTTCTGTACCATACGGTGATTATCTGCTCTGTCGTTCCGCATAGCGTGGGTGTGATGTGATTCTTCTCTTTCGGCTCTCCTGCCCTGTTTGTTCGTTCTCTTCCCTTTCCATCATGCGATTCATGTCATATCACGGTTCATGTCATGTCATTCCTTCATTCGCTCGTTCGTTGGCCAGCTTGTTCGCTCGCTCCCATGACTCTCCATGCGGAGTGGGCTGCCTGCATGGTCCGTCTGCATTGCCTATACTTAGGCTCTGGCTGTCACCGACCGGCCCGGTCTGGGCAGACAGGATGCGATGCTGCGCTGGTCGCGGTGTCAGTCTGTCTTTGGTCGCTCTCTCGTTCCTACAGACTGGCTCTTCTGTACTATTGCTCGATATGACTGATGTTTAACTATCCACACCACCACCACTTGTACTTTTGCCTTGTTTGGGTCTGTTTGGGTGTCTGGGTGGTTTGTACGACAGATTTCGGTTGTTTTGTTTTATACACTGCACTACATACACTACACATATACACGGGACTTACTTGGTGTTAGCTAAGTGAGGTAATCAGAATCTAGATAGGCTAATTGTTACTATTATTATCTTGATAATTATTATCCTTATTATCCTTATTACCACGAATATTATTATCATCAATTATCATGTAAACCAATTTAAATAAATTAATTATCCCATATACCCCAAAGTAATAAAAACCAGCCAAGGTAAGTAAGTAGGTAGGTAGGTAGGTAGGTAGGTAGTAGCTAAACCCAATTCATCAAACATAGCATAGCATCGCATCGCATATTTGCACAGACACAGACACAGCCACCTAGCCAACACCCTACAGTATGCACATGCACATATACAGACTTAATTTTCTAGACTTAATATGACTTTCCCTGTTTGGAGGGGGCCCGCTTTGAAGAGGGCGCTCAGGTCCTAATCAGCGGCCAACCTGGTATTTAATTTGATGGTTGGTTGGACGACTGTGAACTGTGCGATCTGTGCGCTGGTTCAAGCGACTCTACTGTGGATGGCTTGCAGAAATATAAAAATCCTGGCAGTTGTCCGAGGAAGGGCGAGCACAGAGCCGTTACTTTACTACTGGCAAAAAATTAGCGAGTGATTGAGAGTCTGTTAAACTAATGTGTGACCCTATTAGTACTAGTTATTGACTGCTCCCAAAATGACTCTCTTGGTCAGTGGCTGAGTTGGTCAGCTGCGTGGAATGAAGGTAGTAAGTAGTTAATCGGGTTATATCATATATCATGATAAGTACTTGTCGACCCAATTCCTATGTTATATACTATAGCTAGAAATCCCACTTCGCTCATTTCTATGGGGGAAAGAAAATGGAAAATTATGATCGTATAGCACAGGCACCCCGTATAGTAGCTCTTTCTCTTATTTTCTCAAGGATATTGGTTTCTTGGTATTCTAGTCAAGGGTAGTGATGGTTCTTTTGTATTTTCGGGGCGATGGTAGAGTTGGACAAATACTGGTATACATATATATATATATATATATATATATATCATTGTAGAATAAAGTGGGAAGTAATAATACTAGGAACTAGTTACTTATGAAACACATTTCCCATTATTCCCTCCTTCCCCACAGTACAAACGGGATCAAACAACAAGGGGTGGGGGAGGGGGAGGGGGAAACGGAAACGGAAACGGCCCGAAACACAACGCAGCACACAGCATAGCATAGCATACATAGCGCAGCGCAGAACAACACCAACTAATCAACCAACCCCCAAGTCTAACAATGATGTTGATCTCCGCATCTACCTACCTACCTACCTACCTAAAAGTAAGGTAGGTAAGTACAAGTACCTTCAACCGAACCAAGCACCCGGCCATCCTTCCTATTACCCAATCCCAACCCCAACCTTCCCAGTCGATCTATAACAAATATTGCTTTTTTATACACAATATCTTCATGAGAAGAAATGGGGTGGGAGAGACATATCAAGGGAAGAAATGAAAGAGGAGTGAGTATCTCTACCGCATGAATGCAGCGTGGAGGGTTGGTTATGCGGGTGGTTGAGTTGAGTTGAGTTGAGTTGAGTACTGGAGGTGTTGTGTGGGTAGGTAAGTACTAGGTAGGTGGAGAGGTAAGTACGTTAGAACTACAAACTACATAGAATAGGTGGGAGTAGGATAGGTGAGATGGGCAGAATAGACAGACACAGACAGACACAGTACAGAGTAGACAGCGGGCGGGCCGACAGGCCTGATCTGGCCAGACCGGGTCTGTGGGATGTAAGACAGAAGATGTTAGGTGGACGTTGTGGTACTACCTACCTACAATCTCCTATACCCACCTACTACTAATACTACCTACCTACAACCTCTTATACCCACCTACTACTAATACTACCTACTGCCCTGCCACCTGCCTACATCATATCCGTCAATCTGCCAATCTGCCATCCCATCTGCTGCCTCCACTTTAGGTAGGTAGGCAGACAGGCAGCTGCCTACTGCGGTAAGTACGTAGCACCGCTCCTATCAAAACGGGGAAACTGCAGGTAAGCTGTATGCAGCCAGCCATCCAGACGGCCGGCCAGACTGACTGACTGACAGACTGGCAGCTACTTACTACGAAGTACTACTACTGTAACAGATATGCAGGCGACCAGGTAGACAAGACATCCATCCATCCATCCATCCATCCACCCCGTTGTCATCTCCCAACGCACTTGCATACAGACATATATATGTACATGCATACCTCGGTTTCGTGTGCGGGGGAGGGATATGCGTACTCTATACAGTTAAAGTGTTTTGGGCACTACAACACACACACACACACACACATGGACAGGGGTAAGTAGGTAAGTAAGTGTACCTACAATCCACATACCAACTAACCACTCTTATAGATCGATATTAGATACCTCGACTCATCATCTCTGATTACTTTCTTTCTTCTACTTTCTTCCTTCTATCTACTGACAGACAGACGGACAGACAGACTACATTATACCCTATGCATCATGAATCAGATTTCAACAAGCGCTGTTAAGTACGCACTGTACTAATCGGGGTATGTATGGTCCAAAACAGCCAATAGCTAAAAAAAAAAAAAAAAAAAAGCCAAGCAGGCAAGCCAAGCCAAGCCAGGTCGGTTCGGTTCAGTTCAGTTCAGTTCAGTTCGATCTTCAACACCTGTCTTTCAAAAGGAAAGGAGATTGCAAGATGAAACAGGAACGGAACAGAACGGAAAGAAGGGAAGTAAAGATCAAGATAATGTAGGTATGTATGTAGATAGGTATCATCGCTCCAAGAGGATGGAAGACAGTCAGTCCAGTCCAGTCCAATCCGATAAAATAGCCAAGAAGACCCATGTCAGTCAAGATAAATAGGATATGATAGAATAATAGACAGATAGATAAGAGGGTAGAATGAATCAAGTAAATAAAAGTAATCAATCAATGGAAAGTGTTCAATTTCCATCCAACCGATCCATCCATAGATTTCTTTCTTCTCTCCTCTCCTCTTCTTTCTCTCTTCTCACCAATTAAATAACAAAAAAAAAAAAAAAACAAATCTGTTTGGTGGGTTTTTTATCCATTTTCTTCAGTTCCTCCCAGAATGATTTTTTTAATTCAGTTTTGGACAATCGTTCTTTTTCTGCTTTTTTTGAGGGGACCTCGTTCCACCAGGAAAAGAAAATATAAAAAAAAAAAACAGAGGACCATCCATACTCCAACTTCTGGAGTATGGCGCGGACGTCACAGGTCAGGTGATGAATGACCTGCGCGCGCGCAATAAAAGGACACATGGGGGTCAGAGGTTAAGCCACATTAATGTTCTTTACGGTAGGGAAAAGGGGAAGGGGAGTGTATGTGAAGGGGGTATGTGGGAAGGAAGGGGTAAAAAGGGGAAAGGCGAAAATGGAAGGAGGAGAAACAAAAAAACACCCAGTTATCATCGCAAGCCTCGAACGGGGCGTAGATCAGTTCGCAATGCTACCCCACGGCTCGGATGATCAGAAAATAAAAATCAAAATCAACGGAGAATGCAGATGGACTCAGACGGCTCGCGCTTGCAATGCTAGTTATAGAGAAAGGGACAAGCTAAATGCAACTTGGTTTACCCAAGGGATGATATGCGGAACACAAGGACATGGGTATGCAATTTTTGGACAAGGAAACAAAGCGGGGAATAGAAGGATTCGAATTCAAAAAGAGCCCAGTCCGGTCGGTATGGACAACTGGGGAACCATGCAAAATGGTCGATAGATGACAGTGAACCAGATTGGCAACTATGGCACAGGATGCAGAGTACATCGTATCTAGGTATCGAGCAATATGTGGGTATATTATTGACGAGAATGTCCCCAAATGACGGCGTCTACTTCAGTAACCGGTGCTGAATGACATCTGGGGCTGGAGGAATTGTTGAGGGTAGCTCGCCTCCTGCGTGTATGCGTGCGTGAATTGCATGCTGGACGGGGGTGTCGGCGACGGTGAGCAGGCACTAGTCGCCGGGACCCCCTTGGCGAAGGTGGTGTTACCGCCGTTGGCAAAAGCCTCGTTTTCGGGTGTGATGGGCGGTGTGATATAGCCGTGCGCCATCGCCGACTGGGTGGTCTTTTGCGGCGTGGCCAGCCCGATCTCGCCCTCGAAGGGCTTAGACTCGGACTGGGCGACGTCCGTCGGCGGGCTGGGTGGCGTGTAGCTCGCGATCGAGGCTTGGCGGGCTAGGAACTGCTCCAGAACCTTGGATACACGGGAGTAGTGAGCCGAGGAGTACTTCCTGGACAGGACCTGGGAGGGTTGGTGAAGCTGCTGCGACAACCCCACGAGAGTCATCGAATCGTATTGGGACGCCCACTCGGTGTGGCGTGGCTGAGTCCGGTTCAAGATGCACCGCGCGAGAGCGAGGGAGGCCCGGGCAAGGTCCGACGACGGCTTGGAGACGAACTCCCGGTGGAACAGCGAGATCTCCGAGATGTACAAAGCCAAGTGCTCGACTTCGGCATCGTACGGAGTGTCCATCACAGCAAGTTGCAGGAAGCCGTCTACAGTCGGGTGTCCGATGGTCCAGCCCAGAGTCTGCAGAACATGCCACTCCATTTGAATGAACATGTCGTCGTCATAAAGCGAACAGCACATCGACTTCAGTTCCTTGATGGTAGGCACGCGGTCCTTTTTGTCGCCATACTTCGCTGCGATGAGGAGCGCAGCGCACCCAACCAACTGGTAATGTCTCTTGTAGACGACACGCTTGGAGCAGTAGCGGTCGAGCAGGTTGATGGTCAGGAACAGCGTCGACGGTAGCAGCTGGAACGCGGTATGGGCTTCAATCAGAAAATCAAGAAGATACGGGCGCATGAACCACTGGATCTCAGTTTGGATATCGATTGACTCAACGTCGGGAAGGGTAGCGGCCTATAGTAGATTGTGATTAGCTGAGGTCATGCCCGATCCAGGGCACGCAAAGGTAACCAACATCCATGTCCAGCATGTGCGCCAAAATGTCATCACGGAACTCCTCGCTGGCAATCTTGGACAGCTCGTCCGCGATGGCATACTGACGCTCGCGGGCGATCAGCTTTGCGTGTTCCTTGGGATCCATGCGAGGCGCCGGGAAGTCGTCATAAGACTCGACAAAAAAGGTGTCACAGGGCTGATAGCTAGAGGTAGGACGCTTCTGGTAAGCCATAATGCCGGGCTGGTATTAATGATGGACCGGAGTGGTGTGTTAAAGAGTGGAACTGATAAACGTGTCGATCAGGAAACGACGGAGTTGAGAGAATGACAGTCGCCGAATATCGGGGATTAATGAGTGGAATTAGTTGGAAATATTAAGGAATGGCCAGTAGAGACAATAGTCTGGGTACTGGAAAGGTGGCGGATGAGCAGACAACTGGTAGGGAGGCTTTGTTGGCCGGAGCTAAATGAATGTAAGATTAGTATAAGTTAATATTAATATTAAATATTAGGCGAGTGTGCAAAAGAGCGGCAGGTGCAAAGGACGGTGAAGTAAATATAGAGGTTAAGGAAAGGTTTGAAGGTGGAAAGGAAGGTCCAAAAAGATCGAGGGTGAAGAAGGGGATTCCCTGGGGATAAAGAATACTAACCCAGATAAAGGCCTTCGGGCAGAGGGCACGATGCAACCCTTACCGTGACGGCGTGTCTGGCATCTAGGAAGGCTCAAAGGCACAGGAATGATCCGTTGAGATGGACTCTGTAGGATACCAGTCCGAAAGGCCAAGTACGAGTGAACGTCTTCGCCCTAGGAACCGGTGCTTGCTAGCAAGCCTGGGTGTGTACTCCGGAATGTGGAACAGGAGTACAGGCACGAACCCTATGAAGGGGTGGGGAGATCGTCAGGGGGGGGGATCAAGTGCAAAAAGAACGACCACAACGTACAGTTGGCAATCCAATGTCTTGCGTCCGTTCCTGTACAGGACTGGAATGGTGTTGCGATGAGAGAAGCGCTTAAAGAGCCAAAATCCACATTAAAAGGAGTGAGGCTAAATGGAGGCCAAATGAGATATTAATCAAAACCTATTTCCTGAAACAAGGGCAAGAGACGTTAGCCATCATCCTTATCCAACGATCACATCCGTCGCCTTCGCCTTCAATTTCATTTCGCCTTCGAGTGGGATTGCAATGGCAGACTTGTTGGAAGTCTGCCGCTGTATGAAGTTCGGATCGTCCCCGTCAAGTATGCACAAGCTGTCCTACGCATTCTTCCCCAGAGCACATGAGGGTACCCCTTGATCCATTTGAGTGCTAGAGAAAAGGGGATCCTCTCCCTGAAGTGACATGGGACGTTGAATAAATCAGGCTTGCGGAGAGAACATGCATTCGAGATCCGGCACGTATTTCTTCCACCCAATTCAACGAGCCACGATCCACGGAATCCTGCCACGATGCAAGTGGATTGCCTCGATCCCCCTTCACCCATCAAATGTATTCATGGCAGCCTCCCAGTATATGGTTGTGTTCATCTTGTTCTCGGGGTTTCTCGAGTTCTCGACAAATAGGAGTGTTCGGGGAATTGAACCGGGCAATTGGTGACTTCACTCGCATTGGTCTTGTCGAATATTCGCCATTCACTTCCAGGGAGATTCGCCGACTTCGATTCGACTTAGGGCCGGCGGTAGGTTGAACTACCCGCTTGACGCTCTTTCATCCGACATGCAATTGCAACCACCGCACTCCAGCAGGGGAAATAGGGGGTCAAGGGAGAACAAAAAAAAGGGCTCTCTCACCTCCCAAAGGATCACAACCAAGAGATCATGTACAGAAAGCGTCGAAGAAAAGAACAAAAAGGAACCCTTCTCTTCGCTCTTCTAACCGGCAGGAGCTGAATCAGGGGAATCGAACCGTCGGATCGGGGGACCGGCAGTCAGACAAGGAGGGGGGGTCGCCGTTTGAGTTAACAAACGTCGAAAGGGCAGGACGTCGAAGCAGGAGCTGACGGACACGGCTCGACTGAAGAGGTGGTGCAGCTGGCTGAAGACGAAGTCGACTGTTATAAGACAGTCAACGGTATCTCTGCCGGTAGACCAGTCTCGGGGAACTCTCCAAAGGAATTGGCGGGTGGCAAGAAAAGGGGGGGGGGGAGGGGAAGGAAGGGAGAGGAGGTGAAGATAAAGAGGAATTAGGAGGAGAGAAAAGTGAGGAGGAGCTGCTCTCTCTCCAGGCGGGTGTAGTAGAAGAAAAGAAAAAGAGAGAAACAGATGGGACGAGGACCGGAGATAGAAGTCTCGAGAGGATCGCTGCAGGTTAGCTCGCCCACAGTGTATCGTAAACCATGACGCTTTTCCCGTATAGAGCGTGGTAATGTAGGTAATGGTATCTATCGCGTACCGAGGCCGGGGGGGGATGAGGGGGGGAAGTGGTAAGCGTATGGTCTGGTTTCGGTTTCACCCCGTTTCAACGATACCTCACCCGCGGGCGCAGCGTTGGCTGCTGCTGTCTCTCACTCTCTTCCGCCCGCCCTGACTTACATACGCAGATCCGATGCCACAGCTCATCTGCACCCCCTGGGATCGCGTTCAAAGGTACGGAGCAGAGAGGGCTTGTGAAACAGACTGGAGTGGCTACAAGCTACGTCTTCTGCTACCAGAACTCCCTCCCACCTCCCAACCTCTGAGTTGTGGAACAGGCGTGTAGGAGGCCGCCGGGCGCAGGCGTATCTTACTGGATCATACAGAGAGTCGAGTGAAACTGGGCTGTCCATTAAACCAGAATCACCGCCAGAGACTCCCTCCTCCTCCTTTTACAATTTACACAGTACCTTAGATACTGCCGTCCGTTCGGGACTCGAGTAGGCCTTCCACACTAACGCGGCCTGAGCCCGGAGGAGCGGCCCTTACTGTAAAAAGGGAAAGTCTAATACCCTAGCAGCGATAGTACCGACAGGTACATACATACTGTAAGGCAAAGGTATCTATCTAGTTCTTTGCACCCTCACAAGTTCTGGATGTGGTACTGCGGGTACACACTCACCACGGTATACGGCCTCTGGTGGGTTTTTCGTCCCGGACAGTCGGAGGGGCACCGGCACCATCGCCATTGTACACTGTTTCGACGATCTACCAAGGTGGCAGACGGAGGGGTTGATGTTGCAATTCTAGCTGGGGATTGACTTTCTTTGCGTGCGGTCTGTACCAGCGACTGGTCTTTGTTCGCCCGTAGGGAGACACTACTCCAGCGTCCAAACCTGCACAAGTCCCAGCACCAGCGCTCCTTCGGTGGACTGCTGGGTGGGGTGATCTCCGGCCTCGCCAGCCAGTCCTCACCAGCCATTGCCTCCCTGATTCAGGCCAGGAACACCTCCGGCCCTTGGCTCCGGGACCTTTCTTTTTTCGTTTTTGCTTTTCTCCTTCCTGGGGGCCCGCGGATGCGAAGAGAGAGGCGTGTCGTGTCGGCATGATCTAACATGGTAAGAGGGCGCCTCTATTGTCAAGACTTGAGGTGGGAAGGGAAGCTGTGGCAGACTGGCAGTTGCATCTACCTAGTCAGCCAATTAGTTAGTTAACGCAAGTCAGCTATAATTGTGGGCTGCGGTCTGCAACATGACGATTGACTACTACTAGTAGTGTACGGAGTAGTTAGTTGGTACGGAGGACCGACCCAACTCGTGTTTAGTCAAGTCATTATCTATCTATCATCTATCGAGTTGAAATGTGATCCTTATGCGACAGCCCAGGACAGGTCTATCATACTTACTGTCTACCTATTCATGATTGAGTTCCCCCCCGTATTCCGGTCCCAGGGTCGGCCAACTTCACCTGTTGCTTCCTTCAGCGAGCAGCATATCATAAGAGCGTAATGCGATTCGACGACCGCTCGGCTTTACCCACAATGCGGAGTAGCCGACTGGGATTTTTCAGCTGATGACTGCCCGTAATCATATTCGATCTAGTGGTTCGCAAGTTACTCGGTAGATGTACATACGTCGGTGTATGTATGTGTCTCCGTACATACAGTATTACACCTGCCTACAGGTACTCCTGCCTGCTTAGGTACTGCCTAGGGTCGCGTCCCAGAGGCTTTCTTTCTACCGCCGTCATTGACTGCTTACTGGCTCGACACGCAGATGGCGACGGTACATCGCGTCTTTCTTCTGCGACCATTCACAACCAGTCGCTGCCATAACTGCTCGTCGCCCCTCGTCTGAGGCTTGTGGTACAGCTCGTGATCGGTCAATCTGACCTCGTCGGACCCTTCAGAGTTGGTTGATCTCTTTGTCTTCGGCTCCCCCAGGGTGTCTCACCCTAGAACCAATATTTAAATGAGGAGGTTTGACTATTGGATGCACATGAACCGCGGGCGATAACCAGGCAAGCCTCCGGTACATGGTGTGAGGATCTGGCACTTGACTCGTCACGTGACTTGGTTATATATAATTTATTATATAACTTACTTATATAAGATAATTATTATTGTTATATATTATTCTATTAATACTCTATAGTAGATCTTCTTCTGTTTTTTCTTTCCAGACTTAACTATTCTCGTGAAATATACTGAGTTTTCTATCAAACTGTATCTGATATCATCACACATGGTACGCAGCGTAATTGCCCCCCCTCAATGATTCACTAGACCATATACCTCTAGATCTCCTGAATGCGGGAAATTCTACCTCGTACCGCGCCTTGTAGCGTTTGGCGCAAACAGGGCCAAAGCCATGCAAAAAAAAGCATACTGCGGTGTATCTCCTGCCACATTCGGGTACTACACTACACGCTCGAGGACAACGTCCAGTATTGGCGGTAGGAGATATCATATCCGGATGTTATTACCCGACAATATTGACTATGCGGATTCCCCGAATATCGCAAACATCCGGTGAGGTTTTAACCCCCCAAAGCTACCTACCTAGAGCAGCTGCGCCCGAACAAGACATCCCGTCCAAGGTAAAAAGTACTTCGTACGGACTACGGAGTCCGGGTCCTGCGTGTCAATGCTCTCTCTCTCTCTCTCTCTCTCTCTATTCAAGACCCCGAGTCCGCTCCAGTTCTCTCAGACTGTTACATCCACAGGCTCCTTTGCGGGGAAAGCCCGGCTGAGACTCCTCAGCCAATGGTCCCGAAAGGACACCGTCTGACTTGGCATATGTGGTGGTATCATGGGCCAGAAAGACGGCCCAACTATAGGATCACGACGATTGATAAAGAAACGACCTAGCCCGATTCCTACCCGCGACGTTGAGCAGAATGATCCGTGAACCTCGCACATGTGGTCGAACCGACAATCAGTGCCACGCAGTCTTACCTGTCACCATCTGGCAGATCGGTAACGATGCTCAAGCCATGATCTAGAATGCCTACCACCCAGTCATTCATAGCAATAAAGAAACGCCGATGATCACGACGCATCGTGGAACTTTCATGCTGGCCGACCAAGAGGTAAGATTCAACCCATGGC